CGAAGGGTATGTGTACTTAAAATTTTGATAGATATTGCCAAATATCTACACTAATGATGGAAGTCCTGTTTCCTTATATTCTCATACCATTGTCAAGGTTTCTTTTAACTTTTACTGTTTGATGGGTAAAAGTGATACCGTGTTATTATTTAAGCAATTTTATTTATCTGTCTATTTATTTATTTTAAAAAAGATTTTATTTATTTGAGAGGGAGAGGGTGAGCGAGCGAGAGAGCACGAGCAGGAGGAGGGGCAGAGAGAGAAGCAGACTCCCGCTGAGCAGGGAGCCCGATGCGGGGCTCGATCCCAGGACCCTGGGACCATGACCTGAGCTGAAGGCAGCCGCTTAACCTACTGAGCCACCCAGGCGCCCTGTTTAAACAATTTTAAGTTGTGGTACGTTTGACAGTGGTTTAGTCCATAGCATGTGTTGCTAGCAGTTCTCTTGGTAGGCTGGCTGTACTGAGCAGATCAGAATAAGCCGTGCAGTCATGGGTCAGGAGTCCGGTTTTCACTAGCATTGCTCTTGCATATTTTCATCATCATCTTTTCAGAACTTGTGCAATGGGAAATTCAGTCTGGCCCTTGAGATAGCGCGTGTGGGGAAGTGATCAGTGCATCCTAAATCACAGTGCAGATCTTAGACGTCATTTTGTCTCGATCCCAAAGTGTGGATTTCTAACTAATGGGTGTTGGCTGGCTCTGAATGCCATTGTACCCTGTTTTCCTGGAGATCAGAGTGTCCTTCTCTGCCACTGTCCTTTGTCCTCACTTGACTTATGAAGGAAGCAGGGGTGAATCTCGCCTCCCCTTTGAGGAAAGGTCAGCGGAATCCCCAAAGAAGTATGTGGCCTGCTCAAGGTGGTTCAGTGGGCAAGGCGGGAGGAGAGCTGAGCCCCCGCTGGTCACTACCAGTGCTAGCTCCTGTGGTGTGGAGCAGGGTCAAATGATCTAGTGCCTACTTCTCCAGGGGCCTCTGTTTTCTGAGCTTCCCATCACTGCTCATCCCCATGCCTGGGAAAGGAGCTTGTCTCCTCTTTCAGCTCCCACTAGTGGTTGTGAGGACAGAGCTGCAAGCAGGGGAAACCACACGGTCGCTCTCTTCCCTCCTGCCCCCCCCCCCCCAGGGCCTGCAGACATGGTGCAGGGGCTGTTGGCAGGTGCTTGGACTGCTTCCTCCGCTGATCCCAGCCGGCGTTCTCAGCTCCGCATTCCTCTAAAGCCGGTGGCTCCCCTGGAGTTCTGTCCTGGGCTTGGGGTTCTGGCTGGAACTTGTCCCTCCGCTGGACCAGGAACACCCACAGGCCTCCACTGCAGAAGCCAGGGCCTTGTGATTTGGTGACCCCAAGTTGGCTCTGTGGAAGGGGCAAGGAGCAACCTCAGGAGAGAAGTAGCCCGTCTCGCCTGGTGTTAGAAGGACTCGGGCACTTGCTCTTTCTGACTTCATCCTTGTTTTCTCTTAGCTGTTGAGCTGTGCTTTGCTTCCAGGTCTTTAATTTCCCTGTCTGTAAAATGGGCACTGCATGAGTTGGGCCCTTGTGTAGGTCGCTGAGTTAGTGGGGCAGGTTTGATCTGGTGATCGGCACTTGCCGATGCAGATCGTCATATAGAACAGTGACTGATACCTCAGTCTCTGGCGTCCGACCTAACTCGGCCACCATTGTGCTGGGCAAATTTCATCAAGTTCCTTGAACTTTCTGTGCCTCAGTGTCCTCATCTGTAAAATGGGGGTAACAATGGTATTATCTCAGAGGTGGATCTGAGACTGAGAGGAGCTAAGTGGTTAGGTCGGCACCGCTCATAGTAAACTCCCAGATACAGGCGCTGCCCTTGGCCCCCCGGTCCCCATGGCCTGTCCTTGTCTCCGTTCTGACGGCTTGGCCATCTGAGTCAGCGGAGGTCTGGGAGGAAGCGGGGCTGTGCTTGGTGGGGGTAGGAGGGCTGGGCCTGGCTCACAGCGTGCTTCTCTTTTCTCTGACTCATGGTCTTTCCCAGAGAGTGCGCAGACCCCTCACCACCCCCTCCACGCAGAAGAGGAACTGAGGGGTCGGAGCAGGGGCGACAGGAAGTTGGGCAGGGCCAGGGGAGGGGGCAGAACTGTAATAGATACTAGTTATAACAGCTCCCATAATGGTGTGGGAGCCCTGTGCTGAGTGTTTACATTCATTTATAATCTGGTGAGCTTGGTGGCAACCACCATATTACAGAGGAGGAAACCGAGGCCTCCGGGGTTAGGTTACTTGTTGGAGGTCACATGGCTCTAAGCTCAGGAGACTGGAGCTGAGGAAGGGAGAGTGGAGGATGCTCTAGATTGGCTCTCACCTCCCTCTAGAGCTCAGAGAGTAAAGTATAAGCCATGTGGGAACCTCCCTTCTCTCTCTGCAGGCCCTTACTCTGAGGAGTGAGGAGGGCATGGGTCCGCCTGGACTCTCCAAGGTTCCCGGATCTGAGCGGCTTCCAGGACGTCCAGGGTGCTGTGAGTTCTGTGTTTCTTCCTGCTGATGCCGCCAGGCCGCCCCTGCTCCTTGGCCAAGGATCTGAGTCGCATAACTCCTTGTCTTTTGTGGTTACCATGCAAGACACCAGAACCCCAGGTGGGAGAATCCAGCCTCCGGGTGGCAGCAGCTGAGGCCTTGAAATGTCTGGCCCCTGGGCCGCCCTGCTGACCTCCAAATGCTTGGGCCTGGGCCTGCATCCCTCCTGGGCTGTGGCCTCTCACCTAGTGTCCACCCGGGTATCTCTGTTGACTGTGAGGGCCTGCGTGAGAGCATCTCTCAGCTGCTTCTTCCCCTAGAATACGATGATGGATAACATGAAAACATGGTCACGTGTGTGGACAGATAAGACTAGATGACGGGTGGTTGGAAGTGCCCCAGCTTGTGGGGGTAACCCCACTTCATTCTCTCCCACACGAAAGACGGCAGATGGTGCTCCAGTGATGGGTTCACTAGGAAATCCCTCTCATTGATAAAAAAGTAGGTAATTTGCAGCAGGAATTGTGCTGTTAGTAACCTGCATGGTGCCCAGGCCTGGGCTCTCACCTGGTGCTCTCTGTACCCGGAGCAGTGCTGGGCCTGGAACTGGAGTTGGTGTGGGGAGGGACAGGCTGAGTGGCCCGCCGGCTTTTCTCACCTGCGCTCCTGCACCCACCGAGCTCTTGATCTTAGCTGGGACTTCCTCAGTGGAGACTGAGAGGAATCCTACTGGCTTTAGGAATAATGGGATATATACCTGCCTCTTATAGGCCCAGGGATTGCCTGGCTCCAGGAGTTTTGATGATGTCCCAGAGACCTGCTCTTTCTCCTGTTCCCGCCCCTGCTCTCCTCTGTGCCGTACGTCCATCCTGTGGTTTAGCAGCCTAGGCGGGAGAGAGGGTGTGCTCTGGGAGTGAGGTCCGCGGAGTTCTCCTGCCTACTTCCGAGTGAGTCACTGCGGCCAGCAGGGTGGGCACCCTGGTTAGTCAGGCTGGCCAGGTGCTCCCTCTGGGGGTGCATGGAGCACAGAGCTGTTTTACCCAGAGGGAGGCCAAATGGACGCAGGGCAGGCAGGACCCCAGGCGTCCATGCTATCCGCTGAGCATCTCCTGGGTGTGGGCTGGGTGCAGTGTGGGGAGGGGTCTGGGTGTGGAGTGGACATCTAGCAGGAAGCCAGTGGTCAGATGCAACCCCAGAGGGTGGGCCACACCATCCTGCCTTTCCTGGTGAAGGTGGGGGCGGAGGATGCGGCCGAACCGAGGGCCACCAGGCTTCTGCTGAGAGGCCAGCTGCCTTAGAGGAAAGGACCCCACGCTTGGCAGTCGCAGACCGGAACTGGGCCGGGCCCTGAAGCTGCTCCTGCGGCCCATCTCGGGAGTCACCTGCCACCCATGTGGCCTTCCCTGCTACGGAGGAGTCCAGAAAATAGAAATGCCCGTGCGCTTTGCCCATGACCTGGGGTGGGCCCCTCCCATCTGACGCCCGGAGTGTCAGTGGGCCCCGAACAGGAAGCTGTGGGGAGGGTGGGTCAGTGAGAAAGGCCAGGGCAACTGTATTTCCCTTTCTCCACTGCTGAGGGCAGGGCCCGGGCCCGGTGCCCCACCTGTGGTCCCCGGCACCCTGGCCCGTGCTGGCGCAGGTGCCACACCCTTCCTTGGGCTGTCATTAGTGAGCACCTGCTGTATGCCTGGCACGGTCAGCATGGGTGCATGCAGAGCTGAGGGCTAGCCTTGACTTCCAGCGGGAGAGAAACACCCTCGCACACAGGGGCCACCCACCCACCCCCGCCCTCGCCAGCATGAAGGGTGGCCCTGCTGAGCTCTGTCTAGACACTCGAGGGTGTCTGTGCCTGTGCATGTGTGTGTGGGAACGCACCTGCGGGCTTGTGTGCTGCCCGCGTGTGTGGGCGTGTGCACGTGGGTCTGTATCCCTGCGTGAGCCTGTGTCTCATGGGGCCTTACAGAGACACGAGATCACGGGAACGTGCAGTGCGTGTGCGCGTGTGCGTGGGCGTCTAAGGGCTCTTGTGTGAGCACACCTGTGTGCACCTGTGGATCCTGTGCATGTATACATACGCACGTGCGTGTGCCCCTGTGCGTGTGTGTGTACTCATGCCCACGAGTGTGCAGGCGTGGGACTGGTTCGTCTGGTGTGTGCTGAGCCCTGGTGGAACAGGAAGGCAGAGGCCCGTCTTGGGCAGCCCTAGGGAGCGCGTGTGAGGGGCGTGTCTGCAGGCTCCTGAACCTTCCAGCAGGCTCTCCCCCTCACAGGCACATGGTGTGTGTGTGTGCCTCACCGCCCCGTGGGTTCTGGGAGGCCGGGGCTGTGTGGGACCGAGCTGCCAACTCGGGCTGTGGTGCAATCTGCCAGCTGAGCCCCTTCCGGAGCTGTGGGTTCCTCTGGGTGTGGGGAAGCTGCCCTCTGCGAACTCCCCTGCTGGCAGTCCGGGGGCCTCCGGGAGGGCAGGACACACCTCCCAGCCCTACGGCCTCACCCACAGGAAGTGCTGGGGTTGGGGGGCAGGCAATGGGGGAGGGGCCGCGCTGGGTGTCCCGCGCTACGCCTGTGGCCCCACCGACCCGGCTGCGCCGCCACGGCCCTTTGGCCAACAGCCCCGGGGACGTCGCTGGGACCCGGGGCCCGGCGGCTACAACCATGTTTCGCAGGAAGCGCAGTGTCTCCTTTGGGGGCTTCGGATGGTAGGTGACGAGGGAGGGCGGCTGAAGGGATGGGAGTGAACCTAGCCGGGAAGCCCTGCGTCTGCTGTGGCCGCCCGTGGGAGCGGAGGGCCCGGGCTGTGCCGGAGGCCTGGGGGGTGGGGGGCATTTCCCGTGCTGCGGCTGGATGGAGATGGGCTACCAGATGCCAGGCTTTTCCTCACTGTCCCTGGAGTAGGATCCAGTGAGAGCAAGCCTGCGCAGCCGGGGTTGAATGTGTGTGTGTAGTGCGTCTGTGCTGATTGTGGCCGCGTGTGTGGGGGGCATGTCTGCAGCTGCCCGTCTGGGCGCCCGTGTACGTACGAGGTGCGTGGCCGGCTGCACAGGTGTGTTAGGCGTGTGACCACGTGTGCGTTTCTGAGCAGGTGTCTGCACCCCTGGGCTTCCATAGCTTTGTGTGCTCTTATCCGTGTGTGCCGCCGTCTGCATCATCGTGTGTGTGTGACTTTGTGATGGGGGCGGCTGTGGCCCACTGGAGCTTTGGGCTGCCTCTGCTGGGGGGTGAGCTGTGAGGGGAGGGGCAGGCCTGTCTGCAGAGGTGCCCCCCGCCCCGGCAGCCAATCCCGGCTCTGTCCGAGCCTGAGCCGCTGGCTTTGTGCTCCAGCCTCTTGCCTGGGCCTCGAGGCCCCTTTTGCCACTAAGCTTCTGTGCACGACAAGGGAGAGGCGCTTCCCTCCCCAGGGGGACAGAAAATGGGGAGACCGAGGTCAAAGACTTGTCTCCGGTTACCAGCTGCTGACAGCTTCCCCTCAGCTGGGGAACGGGGTCTAGCGGTTTTCATGATTGGTTTCCTTTCAGCTTCTGGGCATGGGGCGTTGTCAGAGAAAAGGTCCCCACCGCCGCAGGGAGGTGGCTGGGGGTGCCCTGGTGTGGAGGCTGGTGGGCTGACTGGCGGGCACCCAGGCAAGGGAAAGAGGGAGGGGCCGCAGGGGCTGGGAGGAGGTGGGCTCCGTCTGCTCCTCTGGCTAGTCACGCTTCTGCCTGGGTGCAGCTGTTGACTTCCCTTTCCCTTCTCTCTGCAGGCACTTTGCCTTCCATCCTTCGGCAGGAAGGAGTTGTGGGTGCTGCATGTTTGGCAGCTGGGGAGAGTGAGGATGGGATGGTGCTAGGGCTGGCACAGTGTGGCCTGGTGCCTGCTCACGGGCCCTCCCTGGCTCTCCCCCCCACCCCCCCGGGCCAAGGGGTTGCTGTGCTGAGTGTGGGCTCTAGGTTCGAATTCGGTCAGGCTGGCTGGGATCGCTACAGGGCGGGGCTCGGCCGAGAGAGGGTTTCCCCTAAAAGCCACACTCCTCTGGGACCCGTGGGGCAGGCGGGGGGACTGTGTGTGTGGCACATTGTGCATGCTCAGTCCATGCTTATGGAATGACTGAGTGCCCATGACAGGCATTTGGTTAGGGGCTCATTGAGTTTGAGGGGATGGCAGGGCTTCCTGGTGGGGTTGGAGGGTTAGAGTAGGCATCATCTGGAGATGGCTGTCAGCTGGGAGGGTTGGAGACTTAAGTGCAGATTCCTAGAGCCCTGGTCCACTCCAGACGGTGACCAGAATCTCAGGGCCTCCTGGTATTCTAGAAGCTCCATTGGATGCCAGGGTGGAGAACCAGTAGCATCAGGGGTAGACACGTGAGGAGAGGGAATGGGGTGGGGCAGGCGGGCAGTGGGGAGGAGAGAGGAGGCGCCAGGGAGAACCTAGGGAGTTTGGCTTTCTGAAATTGAAAAGCCCAGTGTCTCCGGCTGCTGCTCTGTCTCTGGTCTCAGTCCTGCTGAGGCCATCGGCCCTGCCCTCCCGGGGCCACACCCCAGCGTGGGACCCTGTGGACAGACTGCTGGCTAGTGTGGGTGTGGGTGCTGGGTCAGGGACTGCTGTGACCCACAGTACCACCCAGTGGTGCAGTGGTTGGGTTGAGAGGGCGCTGCACCAAGAGTCCCGGTTCTAAGCGCTGGCTCCACCTTGACTCATTGAGGAACTCAGACAGGATACTTCCCCTCTCCGGGTCTCAGTTTCCCCATGGGAAAGTGGGGGATTTCCACCTTATCCACAATGTAGGGATGTTGTAAGAATTAAAAGAGATTCCTTGAGAAAATATAAAATGTAAGGGCTTATTGTTAGGTAGCTCTGGGCTACAAATATTGCAGCAGAATGTGGGGATCTGCCCCCTGGATTCACCCTACCCCCATCTGGTGGGCTGAATGGGAGAGGAGGAATGTCTGCATGCCAGAGGCATTGGGGGGCCCCATGAGACCCTTGGGGACCAGTTGTGGAGGCTCCATGAAAGGGGCCCAGGATGCAGTGGGGAAGAAGCTGAGAGGGACCTGGGTCGGGAGCCTTGGGGTGTGGCTTGTTTTGCTGCTGGGCACTGAGATCAGAAGGCGTGGGGAGTTTGCTCAGAGCGAAAAGATCCCATCTCCCAGCTCAAGGGCTTGGTGCTGACCTGTGATTGCTGGGGCAGCTCTGTGTCCTCCCCGCATGGCCCCTGACACTGCTCCCATCCCGGGCTGCCCCATAGGAAGCCTGTGGCAAAGCTGAGAGGGGGTGGCTGAAAGCATCCTGGACGTGGCCCTGACGGTCATGCTGACGTGGTGGTGGTAACACGGGGTGGGGGGTGGTGATGCCGAAGGTGATGACACGGGGTGGTGGGGATACGGATGGTGATGGAGACAAGGTGGTGTTGCTGACATGGGGCTGGTGGTGACGCTGGTGGGGGTGACCCCTAAGCAAGAGGAGACACTGACAGTGGGAATCTCGCCCACTTTCTGTCTCTAGAGAGAGGAAGGGGCCCCTTTTACCAGCCATAAGGGCTGGCATATGCAGAGCGTAAAAATAGAAGCGTAGCAGCCCTGCCGTGTCTTCCAGCAAGGGTGGGTGCAGGCTGGGATGGAGGGGCTGCGGGATATACGGTCTGCCGTAAATGTGATCTTCCCTGCTCTGAGCTCCATGCCTGACATCCCACTTGCCCGTGCATGCTGGAGCCTGCTGTTGGGTTCTGTCTCAGGTGTGGGGTCTGTCTCCTCGTGTGGACTGGCAGCTCCCGGAACGGGGTGGGGGATCCCTGGGGCTGGCATCTTCCCAAAGCGGAAGCCCAGGGAGTATCACTGTGTTGAATGTCTAGCTGGCAGTGACTGATGGAGCCGGCTTGCAGAGCTCTCTTGTGGAGCGGGGGTAAGGAAGGAAAATGCTGTCTACACATGCTTGCAATCTTGGGGTGTGGAGTCAGAACCTGGATTTAGACTGGGCCAGTGATGTGATCCTTCTGAGCCTCCGTTTCCTCATCTCTAAAATGGGAGGAATAGCAGGACCTACCTCCTAGGGTTATGTGTGGCTCCAGCCCTCCCAGAGCTCACAGCCCTGCTTCCTGGGCTGGAGGAGAGCTCCCCTCTGTAGTGGCTGTCCCCTGCAGGGTCCTGTTGGCTTGGTGGTCTGGACTGGCCAAGAGACCTCCCCTGCAGATGCTAGGTGGGAGCCTTCAGCCTTAGCACTGACCAAAGCCTTTGTTTTTCTTTTGGCAGGATCGACAAGACCATGCTGGCGAGCCTAAAGGTCAAGTAAGTAGCCACTTCCTGTTATGTAGTGATCAGGGCTGATGGTAGGCCAGGGCTCCTCTGAGGCCCCCATTTCCCCCTGAGTTCTGGGAGACATGAATGGGGCTGTTGCGTTTGTCAGATTCTCCATCTCAGTCTTAGGGGCTTTGGATTGGAGAGGTTGGACCAGGCTCTTGATTCCTGGGGCATCTGGAGAAAGACAGGTGCTGGAATGCAAACAGCAGGTGTCACATGGATGGCAATGTGTTTAGCAGTGTCTTTTAGGCCATAACGTGGGGGTGTAAGAAAGATAATTATGTTTCCTATCATCTTGATTTTTACGTGAAGCCCTAGTTCCATCAGGCTTTCTGACATTCCTACCTACCTGGAAAATTGTGCCACATAGTTCTAGAACCTCATAAAACACCTCAGAGCGTGCGCGTGCATGTGTGTATGCGTGTGCGTGTGCTCGCGCACATGCGTGTGGTCAGTTGGTCATTGAGTCATCTGTTACCAGACACATGTCATCCTGGGAGCCCAGCCCTGGGGCTCCCTGAGGCTTCAACACCAGATTTGGGGTCTTGGAATTGTCTGTTGTGCTTGGCCATATGTCTGCTCATCTGTCTGGGAAGCCCCGAGCAGACGCACCTCTCTCCTAGAACTTCCAACCGCTCTTCCATCACCATCTTTGCTCCTTTTCCATGTGTGTTTCTGGCCAAACCATTTTGTTTGCATCCTGATCCCCTTTCTGCTTGACTTTAACAAAATCAGCTTCCACCTTCATTCCTTCCCTGGGCAGTGAGTGACCAACCACCTGCTCCAACTGAGTGAATTGAAAAGGAGGGGAATTCTAGGAGGAAAAAATAGCATTGGTCACTAGCCCAAAATATGATCCTGCCATATGTGAATTAGCTTGTGCTTGAAAAATTCCTCCAATGAGTGTGCTTCTGTGGAAGCAGCTTTTCCCGCTTGTAACCCTCCATCTCAGCCGAAAGGTTTTCCAGGCCGGCCTCCCTCTGCCATGCCATTTGGTTGTTAGCACTAGCTGTGTATGCCCTGCGTACAGGTCCCTGGGTAAAGCATAGCCACTCCTGAGGGTTGGAATATCGGGCGTGAGGCTTCCCACTTCAGCCTGCTTTGCTCAGAAGGGTGAGGGTGAAGAGTTAGTGGGGCAGGGATGGATGGCAAACAGTCCCTGCTTTCTGAGAGCTTTCTGTCTCTGTGTAGAACTGGTCAGAGGTCCAGTGGGAGCCATCTCGGAAGACTGCCAGGGGGAGGTAGTTTCTATGGTAGCTCTTGAAGATGGGGTGGGACGATGGGTATACCTGTGCCTGTGCTGGTTGGTGTGGGGGGGTGGTGCCACAGCGCAGCACAGTGTTCAGGGCAAGACATTTAACTTCTCCTGACTTCAGTTTTTGTATCCTTTGTCCAGTGGGCACAACGATGTCTGATTTCCTAGAGCTTCTTATCTACAGATTGAGTGGGATTGAGGCATGAAGCGGGGTTACTAAGGGGTGTAGAGTGGTAGGAGTGGTTTTTTTCTGGTGCTATTTTGGGTCTCTAGTTCAATTTCACAAGCATTTATTGAGGGCCTGCTTAACTGGTAAAGATGATGTATGTAACCTGGAAGGGAACTGGTTACAAGGTGGTTGGGGACACTGGCCAGTGTTGAGGTTAGGACCCCAGTGTGGGTATCTGGGGGGCAGTTTGAGTGCTTTAGTCCTGGGGAGGTGGTGTTGAGATGATTGTTTGGGACAGTGTGGAGGATTGTATTCTTACTTGTGCCTGGCTAAGATTCTTCTGATTGCAAGAAAGAAAAACTGAGTGTAACCCAGTTAAGCAGAAATTATGGAGAAGATCCCAGGGTGTCTCAGGGAACACCTGAGAGAGGTGGAGGGGTTGAACAGGGACTGGAAACCCTCCCCAGCAAAATCCCAGCTGGCTTCTTTGCAGTAATTGCTAAACTGATCCTAAAATTCATACGGAAATTTAAGGGTAGTCTTGAAAAAGAAGAACAGAGTTTGAGGACTCTACTTCCTCATTTCGAAACTTACTACAAGTCTCTAGCAATCAAGAATTTGGTACTGGTGTGAGGACAGCCATATAGATCAATGAAACAGAATATAGTGTCTGGAAATAAACCCTCACATTTGTGGTCAGTTGATTTTCAACAAGTGTGTCATGACAATTCAATGAAGAAAAATAGCTTTTGAACAAATGGTGCTGGGATGACTGTATCCACATACAAAAGAATGAAATGGAGCCCCTCTTCACACCGTATACAAAAATTAACTTAAAATGGACTAAAGACCTAAATGTAAAAGCTAAAACTATAAAACTCTTAGAAGAAACCATAGATGAAAATCTTTGCGACTTCGAATAAGGCAGTGGTTTCTTAGATATGATACCAAAAGCATAAGCAACAACAGCAGCAACAACACAGTGATAAGTTGAACTTCACCAAAATTAAAAACTTTCATCTTACAAAGGACACCATCAAGAAAGTGAAAAGATGGGGCACCTGGGTGGCTCAGTCGTTGGGCGTCTGCCTTCAGCTCAGGTCATGATCCCAGAGTCCTGGGATCAAGCCCCACATCGGGCTCCCTGCTCCGTGGGAGGCCTGCTTCTCCCTCTCCCACTCCCCCTGCTTGTGTTCCCGCTCTCACTGTGTCTCTCTCTGTCAAATAAATTAAAAAAAAAAAAAAAAGAAAGTGAAAAGACAAACCGCAGAGTGGGAGAAAATATTTGCAAATTACATATCTGATTAGAGACTCATACCTAAGATATATAAAGAACTGTTTCAACTCAATAAAATGATACAAAGACAAATAACACACTTAAAAAATGGGCAAAGGAGGACGCTTGGATGGCTCAGTCAGTGAAGCATCTGCTTCGGCTCAGGTCATGATCTCGGGGTCCTGGGATCGAGTCCCGCATCAGGCTCCCTGCTTCTCCAAAGAAAGTAAATGGACAGTAAGTACTGAAAAGATGTTCAGCATCATTAGCCATCAGGGAGATGCATATCAAAGCCACAGGTAGCTATTCCTTCACACCCACTAGAAGGACTATAATCAAAAAGAAGACAATGGCAAGCATTGGAGAGGATGGGGAGAAAATGGAACTGTCATATGCCGCTACTGGGAACGTAAACTGGTGCAGCCGGTTTGGAAAACAATCTGGCAGTTTCTCAAAAGGTTAAAGGTAGAGTTACCAAATGACCAGTAATTCCTTTCTTAAGTACATATCCAAGAGAAGTGAAAATATATGTTCATATAGAAACTTGTAACACAAATGTTCATAGCATTATTTTTTTTTTTCAAAGATAGGCTTCCACTGAGCAAGGAGCCCGACACGGGGCTCGATCCCAGGACGCTGGGATCATGAACTGAGCCAAAGGCAGATGCTTAATGACTGAGCCACCCAGGCGCCCCTGTTCATAGCATCATTAATAATAAAGTGGAAACAACCCGGGGCACCTGGGTGGCTCAGTCAGTTAAGGGTGTGCCTTTGGCTCAGGTCATGATCCCAGGATCCTGGGATCCAGTTCCACATCAGGCTCCCTGCTCAGCAGGGAGTCTGCTTCTCGCGCTCTCTCCGCCCCCGCCCCCGTCTCCCTCTGCCCCTCGCCACTGCTCGTTCTTTCTCTCTCCCAAATAAATAAATAAATAAAGTCTTTAGAAAAAGGTGGAAACAACCCAAATGTTCATCAACAGACGGATGGGTAAACAAAAGGTGACATATTGATACAATGGCATATTATTTGGCCATCAAAAGAAATCAAGTACTGATACATGTTACAACATAGATGAACTTTGAAAACATTACGCTCAGCAAAAGTCGTAAAACACCACACACTGCGTGATTCCCTTTATACGAAATGTCTGGAATAAGCAAATCCATAGAGACAGAAAATAGATCCGTGACGTCCTGGGGTTGAGGACATTGTTGGGGGGACCAAGGGGAGTGAGTGCTAAAGGATACAGGCTTCTTCGTGGGGAGCTGTAAGTGCCCCGGGCCTAGATAGTGGTAGCACCACCAACTTCGTGAACACAGCAAAACCCATGGAATTGTACAGTTTTAAATGGTGAATTGTGTGATCTATAAATTACGTCTCGGTAAAACTTAAAAAAGAGGCAGCATCTTACTGGCCCAGCCTGGGGTCAGTCAGTTTAGCTGGAGAGATGGGGTTTTATGGATAAACCACGGCTGCTGTGGCCATCTCTGTCTGTGGGAGGGGTTAGCTCCCAGACAAGGAGGTGGACTGTGGGCTGGGCAGACACCACAGGGGTCTTATCTAGCCACCCCCACTCCCCTTGGCACTAAAAGGGAGTTCGGTCCCCATTCTTCCATCCTTCCTCCCCCCATTGATAGCACCGAATACGGAGTTCTGCCTGGATGTGCAGGATGTGGCCCTGCTCACTGATGTGTCCATTGGGCCGCCAACTCCACAGGCTACAGCTCTCCTAGAAGCACCAAGAAGCCACTTTCCCTCTGCCTCTGCTGGGTGAGACGTCTTTCTCTCTACTAGTGTAGCCCCAAAAACACGCCCGGGCTGTGGCCTGTGCTTCCAGTCGCCTTAGCTCCTTCTCCAGGGACCTGGTCCTCTCCACACAGTCAGCCACGTACCTCCTGGAGCTGTCCCTGAGCCACACAACTCTGAAGATGGGGGTTCTGGCCCCAGCACTGTTGGGCACGTTTGTGTGATAAGTTGTCACACATTGCACGGTCTCCCTGAGGTTTCACAGCCACCTCCTGAAGCAGCTACCACTACTCCCTGCGTGTTACAGATGAGAAAATGGAGGCTCAGAGAGGTTAGGACACTTGGGTAAGGTCATGGAGCTGGAATTTGAATCCAGGTCTGTGCTTCTGGCTGGCTTAGTCTCGGCTGGAGCTGAGTAGTTCTCATCACCTCCCCCACCCTGCTTTCCCACTCTTGTTCCCCCCGATATGCATGGGGGCCTTGGCCACAGAATGCACCTCTACTTTCACAGCACATGCCCTTGCTGGAGACCCAGGTTGAGTGG